CTGCAGCGGCGACCGTCACTGCCATCATCAAACCAAACGCGTCTCTAGATCATGTGTAGGTGAAGATTGCATTTTGATCGACCTAACATACCTGTCAGCCATTCTGAGCCACGTAGAGAGACAGATTTTATTTCAACAATATGGTGTGCAGTCGCACATGATCAGTTTCAAAGTTGTGGTTTATAACAAATTATGTCACAAATGATTTGTTTATGTCAGTGGCTGTGACTCAAAAAGAAAAACAAGCAGGCTCAAATCCTTGATTGTTCTGCGGCGCCATAGGCGTTGTCACAGGTGTCGGAACGCCTTAAAATGTGTGCCTGTGTGGAGGGGGTGAAGGCACAAGGTATGATTTAGGAACTTTTGTGGTAAGCAAGCCCAGTGCCGGGGAGTGGAAATGGAGGCTACTGTCTGTTCTAGATTCACATGAATTTTGAAAGTAGTTAAATAGCATAGTCTCTTTGGTAGATATAACCTACAGCTGTTTCCCACTGATGTACAATCTTGCCTACTCGACTCACCTATGTCATTCGGCGAATAAGGCTGCTCAGCTTCTAAAGGTTATTCGTCCATTTCGACACTGTTTTCCCCGGGAAGCGAGCTTTTACGAGCGGGTAGGTATTTCGGTTCATTGAGGAAGCCTCTGCCTCCACAGAGTAGGTGACAACATACGGCCCAGACCTAGGCTTGTCAAAATGTGGCATGCAAATTAACGGCAATTATATTGCGCCAATTTTCGCTCACCTAGATTTTGACGATGGCTTTTAAAGAGATGTGATAGGTGGAAACCAATTCGGAAGCTTCAGATACTAAGTGCCGAAAACAAGTGCCAAAAAGCATAAGGCTGGAGTTTTTGCCGTAACAACCACGCCACAAAATGCAGGCCCTTCTGGCATGCATTCGTTTTCTGGGCTGTCCTTCCGTCGTCCATCGGAAGCCACTGCCCTGGCCGGCTGCTTTCCTCATGGAAGACTGTGAATTGAAGGTTTGGCTGATTTGCTGCATATGTATGGATCAGCATTACTACTTATTGGTGTGTAAAAAAATACATTAGACATCTTCAACAATGTCTTTTTCTGCACTATCTTTCCTTACACCAACGCAGAAAATAGGCTTGAGGGAACCTGCCCGCCTTACGTATGAAATGGCCCGACGGACATTCAGTTGCCCCCATTCAAAGCAGTCGACTTGATCCGCCCTGATATGCCGGCAGGGGCATAGCCAGAGCTTTGCTAGGGGGTAGGGGTGCGGAGTTGACATAATTCCCCCGATGGTGGCCCCCTCCAAAAAAAACTTACCGGACATCACTTACTTGTTGACAATTGACACAGTCTTCTTTGTTTTATTATTATTTTTACCTTGTAACCAGAACGGAAATATAAATCAGAAGCTGCTACAAAATCACTTTTGTTAACATTTTGAAATCAATATGCTGCAGAAATCAAGCTTTGAACGGCTGCATGTAAAATATCACCTGTGCTCTTGACTTGCAATGGTTCAATGGACAAGCTCTAAACAAATGGAATTGAGAAGCTTTGTCAGAATTTTTCATCTGAGTTCAACGGACATATCAAGGACCCCTCGAAGGTAGTCTATAGTTCGAAATGGTCACCAATGTGTATTTACATGGTCAAGCCATATTCGTCTAGAAATCTTCAGAACTCAGTCAGAATCGATCGGCGATACAAATTATGTACTGTTGTTTTGATCATGTGCAATCGCAAACCTTAGCAACAGAAACCTCGACGGCAGACGTTGCAATCTCGTCGGGCCGCACAGTGTCGGCCCAGTGGCTGACAGCAGTGAGCCGTGGCCAACGGACCTCGACGGCAGACGTTGCAATCTCGTCGGGCCGCACAGTGTCGGCCCAGTGGCTGACAACAGTGAGCCGTGGCCAACGGGCGGACGTAATCCTGGGCATGTATTTAAAGGCAAAAATCAGAGAAGTGTTCTGAAATTTTCGCCACGATGACCTTCTTCAGTTTGTGGCCACACGACCTTCCTCTTAAACAAGATTGGTGACCTGAAAGGAGCACCAATTACCTTTTCCTTAGAACAGGTATCTAGGTTCACGGCGGTTGCATGAAAAGGTCTGAGGTACTTTGGACATCAATCTGGAGTTTGATTTTGTTTGCACGTGTTTGATCAGAAGGTCATGGCCTAGGAACCTCAAAATTCAACAAGAAAAGTAGGCTCACTTATAGGGCAATACACCATAGGAATTTGGTGTTTCTAGCTCTCTCAGCCTGTTACACTAAGGGGGTAAAATTGACCCCCACTCAAGCGAAAGGAATTTACCCGGCCACCCGGGCTCGTGTTAAGAAAAGCATCATAGCCGAGTATGTGAATAGAAGTGAGTTATTAAAGTCATGGACAAATAGCAAGAATGCCAGGACAGACCCAAAGCATGAGCACATAACGATTCTGTTCCAGCAAACACTTCCAGTACTATCACTGCCACCTCTCGGCAAGTTGGAGTACTAAAGGGAGGGTCAGTTTGACGCCAGCTCTGACGCCAAACAACCGTTCTTTAGGTAATTCAACAATAGCGTACTAAAGAGCATATCTACAAACAAGATAAACCTTGTTGTCTAGAGCCCAAAATGGTTAGCCAGCAAACAATCTTCTTCTCAGATTTGGTTCACTTTCCTCCCAAATTGGGGCTGGACCTCAAGCTGGCAGGGGGAGGGTAGGGGGTGGTAACTGAAGCCCCCCAATCCCAACTAAATATAAAACGACATGCCTGATACCAATACTTGCCAATGAGCTTATTTCATACATCTGATGCTTGCTTCCATATCTTTAAATGTGGAACATTGCCTTTAGCCTTGTATCCCGCGTCTCTGAGAGCCCGCTT